AAAAACCCTTATCATGGAGTCTCTCATCAACAGACAAAAGGAAATTTATACGCAAATCAAGAAAATCAACATCAATTTCAGCAAGGACGGCGCTGAATGGAAAAGCAAGCCGAAGTACATTCCAAAGCGCTTGAAGTCACTTTGTGCCCTTTGGGATGAATTTGAACAAAATCATATCAAGTTACAAGCAAGTGAAACAAAAACCGATCCGTGTTGTAGCACCGAATTTTATGCAAGTGTACATCAATATTTTTTATCGACGAAGTTGTTGATCAGTAGCTACAAAGTGGAGAAAAAACAGAAAGAGATAGAAGATTCAAGCAGTCACTCGTCGGATGAATACGAAGATGATGGTGAAGAGGGGGCCGGTAGCAGCGGGTTTCGTACTCCTAATTTGAACCGCAACAATCAAGATCACGGTACTAACAGTAAAACCGACGACCTCTTCAGGAAGCAAGCAAGTAATTTTCGTGCTTTTACTAGGACAGTGTCTAGCATTGACCTAAACTCCATCAACAGTAAGTGGGAACTTGAAGATGCACTGCGTAATTTAGAGTCACGCTGGAAAACAGTCGATCAAGCTCACTGGGAACTGGACATAGAGTTGGAAGGTGGTATAAACACTATTTATGAAAAAGCATTTAATACTAACGAGCGCACTTATAATCAAGTTAAAAAGGCCATAAACAGCAAGATGTGGTCTATCTCGCACCGTGAAAAGTTTACCCCAAAGATAGACGTCCCAGTGTTTAATGGAAGTTATCAAGCATGGGTGTCATTCAAAGACCTATTTTGCGAAGCAATCCACAACAACCCTTCTATGTCAGATGCTCAGAAGATGCAGTTTCTCAAGAGCAAAGTGAGAGGCGAGTCCGAGCGTCTAATTCAGCATCTATCGATCAGTAATTAATTAAAAAACTATATCACTTGCTGGGAGATCCTGAATAATCGGTATAATAACAAGAAACTGATATTCAACTCTCATATTAATACAATTTTGGATCTACCGAATTCCAAGCAACAATCAGTGACTCATATCAAGAAGATTCACGACACAGCCAATGAGTGCCTGAACGCTGTTAAAAATCTAGGCGTCGATATCCACACATGGGACCCACTCATTGTGCACCTTTTATCATTGAAATTAGACACTCAGACATATAACGACTATATGGATTCAGTGAAAAACAAAAGAAAATTACCCGAGTTGAAGGATTTTTTTGAATTCTTAGAGAGCAAATTCACAACAATGGAGACTGCGCGCCGAAAGCAAGATGGCCCACAGTCTCAATCATCATTTTATCAAAACAACAGACCATCAACATCGGGATATCAGCGTCAAAAATCAAACTACAATTTTAAGCGTCCATTTCTGAGTAATCAAGTAGTTACGAAGCAGTCACTTGCTAAGAAATTCAATCGAAAATGCCCAGTGTGTGGCGAAGAGCATGGAATATACCATTGCAATCAATTTTTAAATATGACCCAGTCGTCCTGTAGACATATTACTAGGAGCCGAGGTTTATTCAAAAATCATCTTAGAAGGCATCTGCAGATCAAATCAAGCAACACCAATTGCGCAACAAACACGTTTGGGGTGGATATTGTGCGGCAATGTAAACTCACTACAATGCAATGTCGTACTCAACAACATAGAACAAATTGAAAAATTCTGGGAAGTCGAAGATATCACGGAAGAGACAACCCTATCAACGGAAGACCAACAATGTTTAAAATTTTATCAAGAAACAACTACGAGACAAGATGACGGCAAATATGAAGTGAGATTACCAATGAAACCAAACTTTGAAGAAGAATTAGGACACTCAAAATCAAAAGCAATAGCACAATTTTTACAATTGGAAAGAAAGTTCGAGAAACATGAAAAAATATCAAGAGAATATAAGCAATTCATAAACGAGTACTTAGAGCTCGGTCATATGAAACCGTCCACCAGTGGAAACAAGACACTTGAATGTTATTTGCCTCATCATTGTGTGTTACGGGAGGGGTCAACGACTACAGCTTTACGCGTGGTTGTTAACGCAAAAAGTTTGACTTCATCAGGAAAAAGTCTAAATGACCTCATGTCTAGGTGCCCAAATTTACAACAAGATTTGCAATCACTTATTTTGAAATGGAGGCAATACAAAATAACATTTACCGCCGACATCGAAAAAATGTTTCGACAAATTTGGGTTCACAATGATGATCAACAACTACAGCAAATCATTTGGCGTAATGCTAAGACGGAACCGCTCCGTGAATATCAGCTAGCAACGGTCACTTATGGCACTAAGGCCGCCCCTTTCCTGGCCATGATGACCTTAAAACAACTCGCTAAAGACGAGAGAGATCATTATCAATCAAGCGCAGCAACAACCGTATTAGAAGAGTCGTTTTACATGGACGATCTACTTCATGGATCTCACTCAGTAGCAGAAGCAAAACAACTACAACAAGATCTTATCAAATTACTTAAATCAGGAGGATTCAACTTAAGAAAGTGGTCGTCAAATCATTCATCACTGCTGCAAGGTGACACGAATAATCAAGAAAAGCAAGACGCTAATTGTATTCAAGCAAATGGAGTCAACGAAGACCTTGGGCCTCCGCTGGAACCCTAAACAAGATAATTTCACTTTTGAATCGAAAATTGATCAAGAAAATCAAAATAAAATGACGAAAAGAGCACTTTTGTCAGAAATTTCGAAAATATTTGACCCCCTCGGCTGGCTTACACCAACAACAACAAAACTCAAATTATTATTTCAAGAAGTCTGGAAAACAACTTTACAATGGGATGACGAACTTCCACAACCTATTCTCGCCGAGTGGATCAAGATAAGAGCAGATATCATAAACATAAACAATATCAAAGTACCGCGGTGGCTCGCCACGAGTCTAACTACTAGTGTCGAGTTACACGGCTATTGTGACGCGTCGATCAAAGCGTACGGATGCGTCATATATTGCAAAATAAATAATACAGACCAATCAAAGGTTGTATTAGTAGTGGCCAAATCACGTGTCGTTTCTGAAAAGAAGAAACATTACATACTCTACCTCGATTAGAGTTATGTGGAGCAGAATTATTATCAAGACTAATGAGCAAAGTACTGCAGTGTCTCGGCAAATACAAAACACGTGTGTTTGGCTGGACGGATTCCACGGCAGTTTTAGGCTGGATACAGGGCGACCAAAATCGATGGAAGCCGTTTGTATCCCACCGAGTAAACAAGATCACGAGAATCATGAGCCCGGAGTGCTGGCAATACGTCAAGTCGGAGGACAACCCGGCCGATTGCGCGAGCAGAGGAATCACAGCTTCTCAATTACTAGAACACCGTTTGTGGTGGACAGGCCCATCATGGTTGCCTTCCTACAACATTGACAATCAAAGCGCACCTGAAAAATATCAAACTAACGAAGAAGAAAAGAACACAAATCAAGTAAATGTTGTTACTCAACAAGATAGTGATAACAACATTATCAAGCAACTTATCAACAAACATAGCAGCTGGAGAAAAATTATAAGAATCCTAGCTTGGGTGCGTCGATTTATCAGCAACAAGCACGAGCGAGAAAGCAAAGCATACCTAACAGTGCAAGAAAAAGAAAAAGCAAAGCAAAGCATTATAAAGCAAATACAGACAGAAGCATTCACAGCAGAAATAAGCAATCTAAGAGAAGGAAGCAAATTGGACTCAAAAAGCAAGATTTTGAGTTTAAATCCTTTCATGGACAAGCAAGGAGTCCTTCGCGTAGGTGGAAGGTTACGAAACGCACACATTAGCGAGGATATGAAATATCCCACAATAATACCCCACGACAGTCGTCTAACAGAACTTTTAATCAATGAAGCACATAAAGTTACGTTACATGGCGGTGTGCGACTGACATTAGCACATCTCAGGCGTAAATACTGGATCATCGGGGGTAATCGAGCGGTCAAAAAACGTCTGCATACGTGTCTCACCTGTAAGAAAAATAAACCAACAAAACAAGATAAAATCATGGGAGACTTACCTGCTGCACGAACAACAGTGTCCCGTCTATTTTATCACACCGGCGTCGATTTCACGGGCCACGTAGACGTGAAAACAAACAAAGGACGTGGCGTGAAAACAACAAAAGGTTACATCGCAGTTTTTATATGCATGGTAACCAAAGCAGTCCACCTCGAGCTCGTATCAGACATGAGTTCATCAGCATTTCTCGCAGCATTAAGGCGATTCGCTTCAAGACGAGGAACGCGGCGGCATATACATAGCGACAACGGCACGAACTTCTTAGGAGCAAACAATACTCTGCAAAAAGAATTCGTCGATCTGAAGCAAGTAATAGACCCCGAATTCCTCAACGAAGTGTCCGACATGGCAATCGAATGGCATTTCCAGGCTCCATCGTGGCCCAGCGCGGGAGGGCTCTGGGAAGCAGCCGTCAAAAGCGTTAAATATCATCTACGCAGAGTATTAGGAGAGCAAAAATTAACATACGAGGAGTTCGTGACGCTTTTGTCACAAATTGAAGCGTGTCTGAATTCACGCCCCTTATGCGCTATATCAGAAGATCCAGATGATTTGGACTATTTAACACCATCGCATTTCTTATCAAGCGGACCCCTACTTACTTATTGAAACAGAAAACGATCAGTGAACAAGGTGGACACTAACACAACAAATATACAAGGACGTCTGGCAGCGGTGGAAAGCAGATTATCTTACTCAGTTGTCAGCACGATCCAAATGGAGGTCTCCAAAAGAGAATATCAAAATCAACGACGTGGTTATCATTCATGACGCCAATTTACCACCAGGAAAATGGTCTATGGGAAGAGTCATCGAGTTACATCCCGGGAGCGATGGATACGTTCGGGTCGTAACGCTAAAAACAAAGGGCGGCACTATCAAACGCCCTATTGTAAAACTATCAATTTTACCTGTCAAAAACGAACAAAAAGAGCCACAGAGTGACATCAACAACAAGTCAACACGAAGCGAGCCTGTAAAACGACCACGCCAACAACATTCTACATTTGCATCAATGCTCGTCTCACTGCTATTCCTCATGATGATAGTGCCGACGTCTTTTTGTCAACACAACATTACAAGACTACATGGAGCTCTCTATTTTGACCGAATCAAGAACATGCAATTAGTACGCGATCAATGGAAAATAATTGTATATCACGAAATGAACCCGTATTGGGATGGCTCGGAAACATTCAAGAAATATCTACTGCAATTAGATTATACGTGCGAAAGAGCAAGCAAGAAAACATTATGTGACATCATTCTACTCCAATTGCGTCACGAGTTTGATGAATTGACGCTCTACAATCAAGTATTATTCAATCAACAGATAGAAACACGGGTAAGAAAGCGACGTGGTCTTATCAATGGTATCGGAAGTATAACACGCAGTCTTTTCGGTGTGCTGGACGAGCAGTTTGCCGAGCAGTATCAAAGAGACATTGAGCTCACTAGAAGAAATGAAAAACACTTAGCACTACTTTGGAAAAATCAAACAACAGTGGTTGAAGCCGAATTTAACTTACTGAAACGAACAGAAGAGACAATAAACAAACAACATAAAATCATAAATCAGCATCTAAACAAGCTTACTGAAGCAAACAATCAATTAAACAAGGAAGTGCAAGATGTAGAAAACATGAATGACTTAATATTGTCAACGATCATTGCAAACAATATGCTTACGAAACTAAAAACAGTGCAAGCCTCGTTACTAGACTGTCTATCAGATATTCACCATGGGATATTCAATATTCATTTATTATCTCCGCAACAACTAAAAAAGGAATTATATATTATCTCCGGTCAAATATCACGAGATCTGGCCCTGCCGATAGAAAACATTCAAACCGGCATAATTCAAATTTATCAACTACTGAGAATAAAAGCAAGATTTTCAGCACAATTTATGATTTTTGAAATCAAAATACCGCTCATATCAAGAGACGCGTTTGAGTTATACAGAATTATACCGATTCCACGAAAATCTGGAAGCGCAGCAGTTAGTGTTATACCTATCGCCAGTCATGTGGCTATCAATTTACGAAAGAATACATATACAGGCTGTATATTTGAAAGTGAGACATATTCATACATGTCATAGTAAATCATGTTACAACTTAACATAGACTAAAATAAAATTAGTATATGTGATAGAACAAAAAATAAATCAACAAATGTGTTTTGAAGTGTAGATAGGAATAAACCGATTCCCTTTACGCTTAATTCCGAGTGCAATGGGAATGCTACCAGGCGAGCGCCGAGTGAGACAGCAACAATAACAATGATTTCACATTTACGTTTTAGGTTATGTTAATTGTTTTTTACTTGAACTATCATCGAAATGTTTTAGTAAGTAGTTATCATTTAATAAGAATTGAGGTTTTTGGCGTAATTAAAAATGTGAAATCAAATTAATTACAATGATTGATTTTTTAGTTATTTACAGTTTATTTACACTTACGTGGTACGGAGCAAGTGTTCAAAATGTCCACCGTTTTCCACAATGCATAGTCTAGCACGGCATAGTAAATTTTGTTTTAAATTGTACAACACAAACACATTTTGTCTCACAGTATAAAATGCTGAGATAATCCTCTCACGCAACGCAACAGTGTCGAAACACTGTTCAACTCCTCCGCGTAAACTCCGATTTGGGAACATTTCAATAGCTTGCCTCACACTATCACCACTTATTGCGTAAAGTCACACCATCTCAGTCAATTCCACGTTAGAATAAATACCCATTTTGCGGCGATCGGGCGAGCGGAAGGACAAATAATTTACGTGTCTTCGTTAGATCAAGGTCGCGCGTGGACTGAGTGAATTTCGCGTATGCGCCCGCGTTCTCACCCCCGACCTGTGCTTTGCTTTTCGCCGCTGCGTCGGAGCAATAATAGTGATGTGCATGGATTTCGATAACTAATGTTGTGCTCAAGTAGTAGTCGATAAAAAAAAATTAAAAAATATTTTTTGTAAAGTTTAAGTTCATTAGTTTATTGTTTCTTTGGGTTGAGAATCAGGAATATAACGCACTTTATAAGTATGTCCCACTTTCAAATATACAGCCTGTATAATACTAACAGAAAATAACCTACAGGAATGTTTACAACATGATGAAAACACCCTTCTGTGCCACTCTCAGAAGGCTATTTACGAACTGAAATCAGACGAAAGTCTCTGTGTTGCAGATCAAAATACAAACAAATGCCTATTGAACATTAGCGCATGTAAGAATTATTGGACAGAATTAAATACAATTAATTCTTATCTCTATTTTTGTTGCGGACAGTGTGCACTACGTATCATGTGCGAGCATCAGGTTACCGCGGCACATATTGATGCGGCCTGTGTCATTGTTCTCGGGCAGCATTGTGTAATCAAAGGAGACGATTTCACTGTCATTGCACATAAAAATTATCAAAATCAGATGAAATCAACATCAACAATTTATGCGCCAGAAATAGCGCCCATAAATCATATCCTGAATATATCAGTACCGCATTTAGAAATGAATATCAGCAACAATCACGGTTCTCTTCAAAAAATAAGTAAACAAATCGAAGAAATGAAGTCACAAAGAGCACTGCCTGAAGATATATCATTTCATGACGTACATCAATACACTGTGATGTACTTATTAGTAGTAGTCGGTATTATGGCAGCAGCAATGTACACTTGGCAAATCTTTCGGCGCCGGCAAGAGCGCCAGAGCGCAGCCTCCACACCGTCGTCACAGCCACAGCAACGGCGGCAATTCTTTCAACGCAACAACAGAAGATCAACAACTCGGGGGGACCGGAGTGAGTTTATAGAGATGACAACTGTATCAAAAAAGGCGAAGACGACACAACAAAACAAATCGACGTCGCCTATTTTTCGCGAACCAATGTTCTGTGACAATATAAATAAGCATTGAATGTTGTGAAATTTATAAGTTTAACATATAGTTCTGTATCATTAGCATAATTCATTATCAGTTTCATCTCATTCACTCTCTTTGCTTCTCGCGGTGGGCAAGATGTACGGTCTACGACCGACAATGCGCTCCATCAGCACTTTACGCCATATTGTAATTTAAATCAGTTCACAATCAGCCATCGCGCAGTGCACTCATTTCACACCTATCAAATGTATCATCTTTAGTAGTAAATCAATACTAATAAACACACTAAACAGTTATCATACTATCATTTATAAGAGTACGGATACACCGTACAGTGGCAGTACTTCCCTGGACGAACTCTTTCACAAGGAGCTCTACTGCTACTAAAATGAGAGAGCATCAAGTTAATTCTATGTGGATAAGGCACCTAAACCAAGACCCGATAGAACATTTTTTGGTGGAATAAGAAGTCACAGGTGCCAAAACACCAACCCTACTCCTGAAAACTTCGAAAGTGCATTTGTAACTCTATGAATAAACAATATATGTCGTGTCCATGCCCCTGCAGAAACAAACTGTGAGAAAGATTTTTGTGAAAATTTACATGCCTTTATGGTCACAGTTGATTGCAAAGCCTCGATCTGCGAGTTAGAATATTTGCCCAATATTTATACATAAAGCTTAGAAAAAGAAAGCTTAGATCCTAGAATAATTGGCGCTTTAGAGTATATAAGCGGATACTTCGTCAAAATGCCAAAAAAAGAATGTTTTTAAAAACTGCCGCGAATGTGCCGATATTTTAAAAAATGTAGGGACAGAATACATAAAATATCGAGATCGAGAGTATACAGATCGCCAATGGCTTTGCAGTCCCACTGACTCGTTAGTTAACTGTAAGATATAAGCGAGATAATTTTAAAAGAGTTTGCAGAAAAAAGCAATTTTAAAGAACTCCTATTATAATGTTTATTGATTTTGGCTTTATAACTTGTGCACGGCACAAAAACCAAATAATTGAATATTTAATAAATATCACATCTAGGTTTTTTAATTATTGTGAAGAGATAAATAAAATTCTTACTGGAAAAAGGGAATATCAAGATGATGAAGGCAATTATTTAAAGGTTCATTTCATTTCATTTATTCATTGTATTCATATGGTATATGTACAAGGTCTTAAAACTAAAAAAGTTCCACATATGAACCCAATTTATGGGGTAACAATAAGAGGTAGGCTGAGGCTTTATATTGGAAATGACTCGAAATTAGTCATAAGTATTAAAATTAGGTTATTAAAAATTATTCTTAGTTATTAAAATTAATCATACGTATTAAAAGTACCCATAGTTATTAAAATTGGTCATGATTTGTAAAAATTAGTCAAGATTAGTTAAAATTAGTCAAGATTTGTTAAAGTTAGTAAAGATTTATTATTTATTAGTCAAATTTAATTCAGTTATTATTTTTTGTTTGTCGTTAAAATATTCATTTAAATTATAATAACAGTTATGTATTAGGAACGATTTTAATTTATTAACAAACGTTGAATATTTATCCTCCTTCCGGATCATGAGTGGAAGCTCGTTGAATATTTTTATTGACATTGAGTAGGGGCTGGAGCTATGTATCTGAAGATGTGACTGTGGCAGAAGCAATTTATTTCTTTGTCTAAAATTGAATTTTTGGGGCATGTCGTCACGATTGGTGTAAAAATCCGGGT